GAGGGCAACGGTACGTTACCTGTTTTGTTTCTAGATTTTCTAGTTTTCAACTTTTATTACCAGTTGAATTTTAAAAATCTTAAAACAAACATTTGTGTAAGTCATTCAACATTTCACTGAGTTCAGAATTTGAGAGCAGGTGAGACATGTTTTCAGCATTCTGGAGTTTAGGATGAGTTTGAGATAAATGCATTGTAACGTTGTTAGTCTTTAGCCTACAGACCTCTAAAGGGTGTCTGAACAGCACTTCACGAAAGGAGAATGGCAAGTATTTGTTTAGAAATCAATCAATCTGGTCAAATGTGAGACACAAAGAAGGAAAGCTGCCCTGTCAATTTTTAACAATAACCAGACTCTGTATTTTGATTATCTGGGTCTCCCTGCCCCAGCGTAAGCACTTTACTCTCTGGCCACCCGAAGCCGATTCCTTAAATCAACAATTATCTTTCTTATATCCTCTGAGTGTTAATGTCTTGAAGTTGGAGTCAGCTTCTTCAATCCACAGTGAAGAGCAACTTACAGGCACCATTTTAATTGAAACCTTGGTGGAGTTTTGTCAAATCGAGACAAAACTCCTGTTTTTAGTTTCACCCTCCTCTCCTGGAGTGTAAAGTACCCATTACCTTGAATTCTCTGATATAAACTTGGCAAAATGTAGAAACTTCTCATGGTCGTGATTGTGTTTTTCCCTTAATGTGGTCTGAAACTTTATCTGGTGCTCAACTAAAGATTTTCCTCAAACTTTATTTCTTCTGTGTACAGTGTACTTTGACTCGTATGATTGAAATTTTCTGTAGTAGAAAGAAAATAATATGAAAAGGTCCCCATATCCGTCTATCCATCTTCAAGTATAACTCATGGCAAGTCTTTTTTCATCTACACTCAAGCACATCCCATCTGTTAATTCATTCAGGATTATCATGTTTTAATTGAGGTATAACTGACATTAGTTTCAGGTGTACAATAAAGATTTGATATTTGTATATACTGCAAGATGATCACACACATTTTTCTTGTGATGAAAACTTTTATTAGCAGCTTTCAAATATGCAATACATTCAGGATTACTTTGCTGTTTTTCACTTACAGCAGTGGTTCTCAAACTTCAGGGTGTACCAGAATCAGCTGGAGGGGACTGTTCAAGAGCAGGTTGCTGGGCTCCAGCCAAATAATGTGCGTTTCTAATGAGCCCTCGGGCGATGCTGACACCCTAGGGCCACACTTGATAGGGCGCTGGCTCTCTAACACTTGTATGTGGCACAGAGCCATTGTGTTCATATAAAATTTGAGAAATAACCAAAACAGAAAAAAACATTCTGTGCTGAGAAGTTGAGTCCCAATTTATACCTATATAAGGACCAGGGATGCTCTAGGAGAAGAAATAACTGCCAGAGTTCTCCTGCTGTATACTCCATATTTTTAAAGAAATTAAATTCTACTTTAAATTTACAGAGATGGCAACAAAATCATAGAGTTTAATAATGGCCAAAGAGAACTACATACGGCCCAGTTCAAGAGACGGGAGTATCCAGATGGCACTGTTAAAACTGTGTATACAAACGGTCTTCAAGAAACCAAATATTCATCTGGTCGAGTAAGAGTTAAAGACAAGGATGGTAATGTTCTAATGGACACAAAGTTGTCATGATCCTTGTGTATGGCTAATCATGAAATAACACTAACTTGATTTTCTTCTTTAAAAAATGTACATTTTTTGTGGATTCTGTGGTTTAATTTATATATACTGTGTGTGTATATATAAATGGAAAAGATTGTTTGGAATTTTTTCATAATGTTTGAAATGCACAGGGACAGCTTTCATTTTTAGTTCACCTACCTTGTCTTTCTACGGTTCTAACCAGTATAGACTTTTAACAAGTGGATGCTTTTGTTGGTTGGAGATGGTTATGAGAGCCAAGAAGTACAAGAAACACAGTATCACAGATTTTCCCACCGCCTACCAGGCCTATGAAGGGCTTGCTCAGAAAGTTTACTGAAGGAGTAAGAGGATTTCTCCAGTCAAAATATTACTGTGCTTGATTAGTACTAAAATTAAAGCATTCTCTACCACAGAGGTCACAGAATTGGAAGTTAAAACAGTGACTGACTGAGTACAAATAAACAGTAAAACAGGCAGAAGAGTTCATTCTGAGCGCAGATAAATCTCATAGGAGGAAAAAGCAGTTGTAACAAGGGTGACAGCTGAGAAAGGTGGGGCATGAAAACTAACCAGCCAGTGTTAACTGACAGACCACAGGTGCCTTGACCTTATTACCTGTAAGGCGGGGCTGACAGAAGCAAGATGTCCTTGAAGGGGGGGGGGGGCGG